TTCTAACTTGACTAAGGTCACCACGATAGATCACCTACAATTGTCACTTCGATCCATCAGAATGAGCTCTTGTAAAAACCTAATTGAATTCAGTTAATTTTAATCATAATCATAATAATGTTTATTTCTTTTCTTTATCCAATCATCGAGCGATGCCCTACGTGACCCAAAAGTTCTCTTGATGTCCAACAGTCGTTCAAGCACCCGGTAAAAGTAATAAAACAAATCGTTATTGCTCAATTGTTGATCCACGATGAATGGACAAGGTGTATATGCATTCAACCCCAAAAGCTCGCTTGGTACTGTTCAGAAACGCCCAAATCACGTTTCAGAGCCAAGCTCAAATACATGAATTTATGTGTTTCTTCTCAGTATCCTCGGTAACTTTGATCATGCGGTGTTCCAGTTATCACCAATTATCACTTCAGAGGACATGTGTTCGAACCCTGCCACCACCGCCTGCCTTTCCTCATTGTGAGTGTTGCATGGCATCCCTTTGGTTGGCCGCTTACCCCTTCCTGAAAATTGTATCTTTGTATAGTCCATTAAAGGAAGTAAAATGAAAATGAACTGTTTGAGTAGTTGTTTAATTGAACTGCGACATTTAGACTCATCCCACTTCCTCCATTTTCGCTTTGAAGTAGCATTTGGCCTTCATATGGCCTGACATTGGCTTGCCGGCTACATCGAAAACCATATTTGGCTATCAGACGCCGAGTTCAAAGTTTTGGAGGTCTTTCTAGGGGTTGCTAATGTTTATCCAGGTCCGTTTCTGGTTGCCAAGGTTGTTCATTGAAATTTCAAATAATCACATAGCCAGTGTCGTATTCTCGATCCTGTTATGGCCAACTAGAACATAGACGATAAGCTTTCTGATACATAAAACTGCATCACTTCGAAGCCGGTGAATGATCCCTCTACGTGATTACACGATCCAGCTTTGATGTGAGACAAACAATCGATCATTTTTGGACAGGCAGATTGCCGAAGTACTCAAGAAGTTGAATGACAGTTGATGTGCTTCGCTGTCGCACTGACTATCGATTAATTCACAAAGTCCGATTTATCATGATTTTTCCAAGCCAGGCAAATGAATGAATTTGTTTCCCTAACGCTTTTTGAGTATCCATGGTTTGCATTGTATGTGCCTATTTGGCATAATTACGCGTTTTTATCTGGCCTAATCGATGAATTGTTCAAGCTGATTTGATCCCATACCTCATATCTTCGACCATTAGCTCATGTGCATGAACTTTCACTTCAACATTATTGGTTACCTGTTCCACTGCTACGCATTCCCCTTTCCGCGTATCACGATCGATTCTTAGCCCCAAGTTCAACTTCCTAAATAGTGCGGACGGTCCTTGTATTGCCTACTGAGAAGGCCTCATGACCATAAATGTTCTGCTCGTTTATGACTTTTTCTCCCGAGGTCATCACGGAAAGTGGTGTTCGTCAGGGTTACCCTCTCTCCTGTTCTATTTAACTTCGTTAGAGATTTAATTCTTGAAACAGCCCTATCCTCGTGCGAGAATAGCAGCATCAATTTACTCCCAAGTGGAAGACTGTCTGATCTGGAGTATGCAGAAGACATTGTGCTTCTAAGTAAAGATCCAGGTAAGTTGCAAGCTTTTCTGGATCGTTTGAGCGCCAGCGTAGCGATGTTCGGTATGCGTTTTGCACCTTCAAAGTGTAAAATGCTACAAAAGGAGACTGGGTTGGTCCACCCGGTGTCAGCTTGCATACAGAAGGTTCGGTTGGTATTTCCCAACTTGAGACATCTGTTGCGCCATCGCGATACCCGGTTGTATGTGAAGGGTCGAGTGTATGCTGCAGCAGTTCGGCCAGTTCCGCTATACAGAGCAGAAACCTGGCCAATAAGAAAACAGGATAAAGATAGACTATTGGTGTTTGAACACCGCTGTCTACGCAGCATTACACGTATCTGGTAGGGCAACCGGAGCAGGAATGCTGAGGTAGGCGCAGAGTTTTGGGTAGCTGCTGTCGTCCACTGGAGCAAGTGGTCGACCTCCAAAATTACATTGGTTAGGGCATGTGCTACGCATGTCACCAGATAGGTTACCACGGCGAGCGATGTTCACCGAGGCAAGTAATAGGTGGAAAAAATCCAAGAGTGGTCAACCTAATACCTGGCACGAGGGTATGAAATCCCTAACCAGGGTACTGGGTCACATAGATACCGGTAGACTATCTGACTCGGGACCTCGGACTGATCGTAGCCGATGGTTAGAAACACTGAGTAATATGGCTGAGTGTCGTAAATAGCGGCGTTCTTGCATCTTCGCAATTTCGTTGCAACCTTAGGTCACTGCAAGTCTCCATCTTCTGTCCTACTTTACTTGCAACGTTCCTGTCTTTCTTCTTTTCTTCATCCAAATGGGCAGCAAGAATATCAAGAAAGAAAACCGCCGCACGAAAGTGCATGGTTAATGGTTGTACAAACTGAAACTGAAACGTTTATGAGTGTTGATTTTACGCGGATTTGAACCATTGGCAATTAAATAATCACGTTTCCTTTATCAACTTATTCCTTGGAAACTAAAGTATTGCCGCCACCGACCCGCCGCAATCACCTATACAGAAGACATAGGATAGATCAAGATCGAATTTTGACTTGATTACTTTTTGGATGAGAGCTCGCCCCAAAATAACACTTTTCAATTGTTTTAACTTGACCAGATGTATCAGGTTTCGCAGTAAGGTTTATAACTAATTTTCGCTACACATTAACGAAAGGCAGCAAGAAATTTTCCGTGACGTTTGCAGCAAGTGGCAAATATCGTTTGGAATATAATTTACCAATAAACATATACATATGGATTGAATAGAAAATTTTGAACCCCGAAGATCAACCAGAGTTCAGAGACCTTAAAATGTGCACAGTACGTTTTAGTTCTTCTCATCACCTTGCGAGCTTTGGACCCTATGGTCCGAGATTCGAGCCCCGCCACTGCCACCCAAATTTGATGGTAGGCAGCTCTGCTGTCGTCCGGTTCAATATCACGCCCAAGTTGTCGGGGCTTTATGTGGTCCACCACACCAAGTCCCGGAGCTTCGGTTACCGGTTTCTATCAATTAACAGCGGGTTCTCGTTACTATGGGGTTCGCCCCGTCTGCTGTTCAACACACTTAGTAGTGTCATAAAAAAATTCCGAAATTTTAAATATCCCCTGGTTAGGACTGCAATGTTAAATATTGCGTTTTCCATACCGTCATATCATTCGGATCGGTTAACAGTAACCGATGGCGTTAAGGAGCAGAGACCGATCAAGTTCAAAGTACTGACCAGTGAATAGTGGTTTATATTTGATGTGGTTTTATAGTTCTCATCGATCGGATACCGAGGAGTGTATTGCGTAGATGACGGGCAGTATACAGTTGTTTCATTGTCAAACAACCAATAGTTCACACAAGTGTAAAAAACTAAAGCACAAACCTTCATAGAAATGAAGGTCTTTAGTGGTGTTTTGGACCAAGGCGTGTAAGTCGTTCGGTTTTGACAACAAAAATTTCAGGGCGTTATACGTTTGCAAACCGAAAATCACTGAGTAACCTCAAACACCTTTGGGAAAGGTACAGCATCGTAAAATTGCATATATAACTCTTTTTCAAAGGTGAGTTCGTCGTCAGGTTGTGAATGTTTCCAACCGAGTCATAAAACGGAGGCCAGTGCTGATATGAGAGAGGTCTGTGGCCCGCAACAAGCTCGCAAAGATAGGCTGTGCTATATCGTGTAAATGGAAAATCAAAAACAGTGTGATCAGCTGTCCGGTGCCCGAGTGGATAGCATGCTTGCGTTCTGTCTGTGAGGTCCCGGGTTCCCGATCCCCAGTTGAGTTGATGGATTCACGCACTGCTGCTGAGACCCAACCAGGTCGAAACAGCTATCCAGTTGCGCTTTCTAGCTTTTCAGTTCACGCTTCATTTGCTATATATACGACGAATTCACCTTTGACAATA